CAAGGATACGAGAGAGGGTCAGGGCACACTGGTCAAGTGACTAGGCAAGTAGAATCACTACCTCTAGGTATTAGTTTTCAGTCACCAGCAACTAGGACCACACAGACACCCAAGGGATGTTTTGGCCATGCAGTCCTTCAATAGGGCAAAGAAGGAATATCTTCTGTCCCTTTGACGTTTTTCAGAAAATGAGAAGCTCAGTTCCAGCTCCTATCACCCCTTTGGAATGCATCCTGAGAAACTGGGACACTTGATCCCAAGAAAAATCACCCCTGACCTCTTTTGCTCTGGTACTTCACCCACTTATGCTCTGGGAGATGGCAACAGATGGTTACTTGAGGGAAGAATCAATTATATCACTATTCTTCAATTCAAATTATTTTATCAGAAAGAAGAAAAATGGTCAGAAGTCTTTCTTTGCCTTGAAAGATAACCTAAAGCTTTCTTAGGATAGACCTGATGCTTCTAGTAGTTAATAAGTCAAGGAAACAAACCCAAACTCCTGTCCAAATAAGTTTCAGCTGCACCCTCCCAGTTGAACTATTTCTCCATCTGAACTTGCTCCACCCTCTGGCAAAGTGGGAACTTTCTCAGTGCTTTCTCTATAGAAAAGAGTTGCAGGGAATTTGACACACTAAAAGTACAAGTGCCCTTCTCCTTCACAGTTCTTTAACAAAGCTGGTTTAGGAAAGTATGCAGATGACACAAATAGATACTAGTTCTTTTCTGGGATTCATACAGATTTTTAACATAATCTGGAAAGCTATAATACTCCTATTCAATCAATATCTGAGTTCCACTAAAAATCAGGCTGCTTTATGGATAGCCTAGGGGTTCAGCCATGAAATTTCCTTAGTTAACATAGCTGAGAACTTACAGCCCAACTGAGAAGGCAAGGAAGACTTGGAGAAAGAAAGATATAGGCTGATGGTGAGTCCAGTGGTCTCCAATGGGACCCAGATTGCCCTCTCGGTGAGTGTTATTGCAAACATTTCCAGGCCTATGTCCCTAAAAAGCCAAGGAAATCTCACTCCAAGCCTTAAGCTACACTAAACTGTCAACTATCACCCAAAATCACAAAAGAAATTCTCCCTTTTTACCAGAGAGACTCAATGTGGCCCTGAATAAACATACCCTCATGTGCTCTAAAGCCTTTAAGGTCAACTTACACTAAAAAGTAGCTTTGTTACGCAGGTCCAGATATTTGTGGAAAGCTACAAATAGGCAGTATGACCAGATAGTACTCTGGAACCTTCTTGAAGCAGTCACCGTGGTTTTCTGTAACAGAGAAAAGGAAAAGGTAAGGAAACAGAAAAGAGAAAAGATGAAAGACTGAAGCCTTGGTACCTTCCCTTCAGAGCACCATCCCACCGTGCCAAAACTCCCAGTATCCTCAATGACTGTTACAGTTCTGGACAGCCACAGCACTTTTGTAGAAAACACCAAGGGGATTATTACTCCTCAAATAATGAGAAGCCAGTATATGTCAAGGAAATCACTTAAAGTTGGATTGTTCTTGGAGACAAAAGTCCCTGAGGCTAAATTTGTCCTCTCAGATGATCCAGAGCTCCTAGGACTGAAGGATCCTGAGATATCCCCTCCTGGATCCCACTACCTGGACTCTAATCCCCACATGGGAGACCTTGGTCACTTTAGCTATTAAGAGGGTAATGTTAACTGCCTTGTTCATACTGGAGCTACATTCTCAAATATCACAAGTCCTGACCCCTTTTCTTCTGTCAGCACCACCATTAAAGGAAGATCAGGAAGACTAATGACCCAATACTTTTCCTGAACCCTTAGATCAGCTGGAGTACATTTCCCTTTTCACATCCCTTCCTGATTATCCCTGGAAGCCCTACCCTTTTACTGGGGAGGAACACCTTAGTCCAATTCATACCACCACATTCATGTCTCTGGGACACTCCTTCTATCTGCCACTAGAAGAAACATAACTTCACACAAAGTACCAGAAGCCCAGGAAGAGGATGGGCAGCTAATGCCACCTTGTTACAAATCCATCTTAAAGATTCAAACTCCTTTCAACACCAAAGACAATGCTCTCTAAAGCTTAAGGGGAAAAAAACGTTGTAAGTCAAAGTTGACAATCTCAAGGTACAAGTCTTTTTTGAAACTTGTAATAGCCCTGCAACACCTGCATGCAAAAGCGTAATAAGAGAAAGGACTTGTTGAGAGCCTCCAGTGGATATCTAAGGAGTGGTACCACTACATCCAGATGTCCTGACTCTTATACGTTATCATCGCAGATTCCAGGGGATGCTGAGTGGTTCATGGTTCTCGAACTAAAAGACGCCCTCTTTTGTATTCCCCTCCACACAGACTCACAATTCGTCTTTGCTTTTAAAGTCCTTTCTGATCAGTCTACTCTACTGACTTAGACAATTTTATCCTTCAGCTCATGACCCCTTCCTGACAAGTGGGAGATCTTGCTTTTACATCTTACTTCTGTCTTTTATATCTGTTAAAGAAATCTGCTTACAGATTCTGGTTACCAATAACAAACACCATGCTGAATGCTAGATTTCTCGCAAAGTGGAAGTACTTTCTTCATTCTTTTTATTCTGTCCATACTACAAGCCTATCGGTATTGCCACCAACATCTAGAGTAAGTCTTCCCGCTTCAGTCTGCTGGCCTACCTGTCATCCCTCCTCAGATATAACCATAGCTTTACTAATCTGCTAGGTGGTTTTCATTCACTTAAAATTGACAAATCTAAACTAACAATCACAATTTATTCCTTGCCAGCTTGATAACAAGACATGTTTCTTTACAATAGCAACTACATAAGGATGCCTACCATGACAGAATGATCCTGTGTAAAAATGGAATGGAAGGTAGTGGTTTCTTTGGGTGATGCTTACACGATAAAGAAAGAAAACAGACATACCTGCTTACCATATGAAAAATCATAGTAACAAAATAGGAAAGAAACTAATGACACTCATAATTCTCATTTCTATAACTGCTCATATGGTTAGCTGGTATTTATCACTACCTTCATTGACTACTCATTCTGTATTCCTTTGCCTTCAGCAGGCATCTCAACAGGCCTTGGTTCTGTACCTAGAGGGGTGATCCATACCTTCATTCCTGAAGGGTCTGGATTATTTGTTAACATACATGAATTGGGTTGTGGTGGTTCTCTTGACCTTAACCACAAGGCACAGTAGTAGTATAATATCCCCAAAGGAATATCCTGCACTCCAAATATATTCCTACTAACCTTCCTTTTGTAGCCTGGATCAATCACCTCCACCAACACCATAATTCCCTTTTCAGCTTTTTAACTTTGAGGTATGAGGAACCTAAAATAACTAGAGGGAAATCTTAGCTTCCAGTTCAAACGTGGCATCATTTTGCTTCCTTGTACAAGCCTGCCCTCCTCTGGAATGAAGACTTCTAGGCCAGTAGAGCATAATGTCATGGGAACAGGAAGTAAACATTTGTTAGTGGATCATGAGGGATAATGGTGAATGATACCTTTCTCAGCTATGTCTTGTTTCTTGGACTCATAAATCCTGACTAGGTAGAAACAGTACTATTTGGTGATTCATCTCTCTGGAAAATCTTGCACAAGCCCTGTAATGTAATGTCACCTAGCTGGCATTGTAATTGTGTCTTCAAAAGGCTGTTCCATTGTTCTTCAATCCAATTGTTTCTAGATGGTTGGAGACATCACTGAATTCTTTGAGCGTAGACCCATTGCTCTACTTCTGTCATTGTCAATTTGTTCCTTGGTCAGAAGCAATGCTGCATAGAAAACCATGACAGTGGATGAGGAATTCTGTAAATTCACAGATGGAAGACTTGGCAAAGTATTATGTGTAAGAGAGACAAATTCATACCCAGAATAAATTGCTATTTTAGTAAGGACAAAGTACTGCCATTTCTGTAAGGGAAGTGCTTTAATATTATCAACTTGACATCATGTCACAGGGTGATTACTTGAGGGAATGGAGCAATATCAAGGACTCATAGCGGTCTCTGCTATTGGCAACCTAGGCAATCAGCAATAGTTGTACTGAGGTCAGCCTTATTGTGTGGAACCATGTTGCTGAACCCATGCATAAACTCTATCCTTGACACCAAGACCACTTTTTTCATGAGCCCACTGGACAGCAACAAGGGTGACTGAGGAAAGAAATTGATGTTCCATTTGATTATTAAATTCCTCCACCAACAAAATCACATTTTGGTGAGCACTTACATAAGATACAAATATCTTCACGTCTTTTACCCATATAGAGATGTATATCTACCTACCTGTTCTTTTACCTTATTTTCAGCAAATGACACACTTGGAAGCCTTTAGATCTTTAGCATGTCTGGAGCTCACAGCTTTCTTTTAGTGTGAAGAGGAAACAACTAACATCATTATATTTCTTACGCTTCCAAAACTATCATGCAGAGTTGCTAAATTCTTGACATTACACAAGTGGCAAATTAGAGTAATCAAGTGGATCTATGTTGCCTACTATTATAAAGAATTCATACTATGGACTACCAATACTCTCGACGTTACCAGAAGAGACCAGGGCAACTTTAAATCTCATTAAATTGGAAAGTCACCTCCAGGAACCACTGAACCAATGAGAGAATATTTTCTTACATTTCTGTTTCTCTAAAACCACTCTTGGTATGAAAATCCTTGTTAGATAGGATTCTTTAGAGGAACAGAATCCATAACTGTATATATATATATATATATATATATATATATATATATATATATATACACACATATAAAGTTATGCAAGTGGATTTATCAGGTAGGCTTTAAAAGGGAAACAAAGTTAAAAATATGACTATTTATGGAAATTATACGAGGTTCTATCGCACGTGAACTTTGAATTCACAATCATTGTGATTATTTTTTGATAAGACATTAAAGTTTAACCTGACCCTGGCAACCCTAAAAGGAAGTAATTCTAAACTCTAAAGAGAAAGCAAAGGGGTGGAGTTACAGCACACTGACTATTAAAGCCCGTGATTCAGGCAAGCCTAGAAAGATTATTTTCTGTGTTTCTGAAAACAGACACATAGAAATTACAGCATGGGAAGAAAGTTACTGTACCTTCTGATTGTGGGGCTCTTTGTATCATATTATATTTACACACCTCTCCCAGATAATATTGAGGAGCCCTGGAAACTAACATTGATCAGCACATCAATGAAAGCTTTTCTACACTTGGTAAGTACGAAATTTATGCATTCACATGTCCATATGCAATCATATTTTCTGAAGTAGTGTTCCAGGGTACTTGTCTTTTTGATTGACTGATCCTCTTAAAATAAGTCCTATGGCTTTTGACTATTTACTGCTTCAAAACATGGCTTATTTGCTTGATTGCTATTTCATAGGTTGAAAACACATTTATAAATATGAAACAAGAAAAGCTAGAGGTTATTTGAGTGGATTTTACTGAAATATTATTCGCTTAGGTCGCATTAATGTCATAATTGATGATGGTTGTTCATTGAAATTTTTGTCTTGGGGTTTGATTCATTAGCAATTAGCTTCGTACATAAACCAGAGACTTTTTAACTATGCAGTAATGGATTAGGTGTAGACTTTTATGGAATATATTGTACAAAGGTTCTAGGCTCCAGACAGTGTACAGAAAGTTACATGTAAATAATATTTTAAGGAAAAAATGCACTGTCCAAATGGTTGGCCTTTGCCCTGGTTTAGGCCTTCAGATGTGAGGGATCCCTCACATCTGGGAGCCCAAGACTCTGAGCCCAGATCCCTCACATCTGGGGGCCAAGATCAATGAAAAGACAATTGGCAAAAACAAAAGGGCAGACCCTGCTGTTTCATGAAACTCGGCTGCTTGTCAGAGCATCTTTGGTATGTACAAACAAGCAAAGAGTATTCTCGTTGGCACCTAGAGTATGTTTTACCTCTATTTCTTTCACTATTTCATTCACTTGATTTTTATAGTTCTCCTTTCCAAGTTGAAACAAGGTGGATACTGTAATTCCTCTTATTTTTCATCTTTCAATTCTTAAAATCTCTGCTAAATCCTATTAAGCAGAGTCTATCTTTTGTCTTCATAAAATATATATTTTAGTGTGGGGACAAAAAGTAGAATCAAATGAAAGAATGATTTCAGATTTTGAGAAATGCCTAGAATTTCCTAAGACAGGAAAACAAGTAATGTGGGCAAATAATGAGGGCAGGCCTACTGAATTTATAATTAATCAGTGAAACCTATTATAAAAAGGAAGCTTGTGCATAAAAACCAGTGCATAAAGAGAAAACAACCAGCAGCAGGAACTGAAAGTCAACCCACAGCACCTCACCCCACCGCATCCAGCCCTGGAACAAGCAACAGTCACAGAAGCAGTGAGTCAGCAAGGACACCAACCACAGCATAGGTGGTGGTGGTAGTGAGAGATGCACGAACACTCACACCCCATGATCAGTAGCTTGAGGGATGCAGGATGTAAGCAGTGCTGCACCGCACACAGGAATGTGTAGGAGGTTAGCATCAGCCTCTCCTCCCTTGGAAAGGAGTTAGAATTGGGACTGAGCAGCCTTAGATAGCAGATGCTGGAGCAGAGGTTCAGCCCACACCATGGCACCCTACCATGCAATAAGTGACCTGAAAGGACAGAGACATGCTAGTGAAAGAGGAACTCAGGAGGCTGTGCAGATACCAAGAGGTGCCAACTATACAACAGACAAGGAGCATCCCTGGGCTGTCTCTGTCTGAGAGCAACACATCAGCTAGGAGAGAGACACAAAGACAAACAGAGTAAGGAGTGGGTGGGACATACAGAAAGTACTGGGTGAAGACTCTGAGCCCAGATCCCTCACATCTGGGGGCCAAGGTCAGCCCCACATTCAGCACTAATTCTACTGAAGGCTTGGTGGGGTTTGAGTTTTGGGCTCTCTGTGGACACCAGAGAAATTTTATTTTTATTTTAAAGACAGTAATAAGAGAACAATAAAAACAATAAAGAATTTCAAAACAAGATGATACAAAATTAACAATGGTTATGATATTGCATACTGTT